ATGTGTTTCGGAATTCAGAATTTTTTGCATTTTAGAAAGATGTTAGGATTACTAAGACATAAATTGTATAACACCCCCAGAAATTTCTGGAAAGAAAACATATTCCAACAGGCTAATAGTACAAGCAGTAAAATGTATAAATGTTTACACAAAATGAGATACGACTCATCCAAAGCGTGTCAATCCAGGTCCAGTTTTGTCACCAAAAGAGTTTACCCTGCACTGATTGTGGTGTTCAGAGCTTTGGGGACTTTGCAATTGGGAGTGAGCAGTAGTTCAGAGGACACAGCTGAGATGTTGCCCAGCCAAGTGACTAATCCAAAGGTCGCGCACACAGTTCGCTGGAAAGTCAACTGGTTTGGAGTCACCACGTACTCACTGGGCGTCGGCACCACGCTGGGCACTGTGGTCACAGTGGCTGGCATGTTAGCTCCCCAGGACTTCTGTAACAAGGTTGCACAAACGAGGTGGCTTAAAACAACAAAAATTTTTAGCTTCCAGTTTTGGAAGCTAAAAATCACCGGGACCATACTGCCTCTGAAACCTGTAAGGGAGAATCCTTCCTCGCCTCATCTAGTTGCTGGGGGTGGCTGGCAATCCTTGGCGTTCCTTGGGTGCAGATGCGTCACTCCAAGCGCTGCCTCTCTCATCACATGGCATCGCCCCTCTGTGTCTCCCTCTTTTGCTATGATAACACCAGTCACATCGGTTCCAGGGCCCACCCTGCTCTGGTACGACCTCACCTTACGTGATTGTGTCTGCCATGGCCCTGTTTCTATGTAAAGTCACGTTCTGCAGTGCTAGGGCTTAAAACTCCTAACCAACATGTCTTTTTGGGAGACACAGTTCAACCCATAACACGTAGCAAACCAATACAAACGTGGCCCCATGCCCTCGTCTGGCTAGCAGTTGAGTGAGGTAGTCAGATTACAAGTATGTTGAGAATTTCCAAAGGGGGAAGTATTAATGGGACCACACAGTAGGGGAATTTTACTCAGATGAGGGTTTCCTCTCTGAAGAAGCAACTTTGTAAATGGAGATGAAAAGATGGGTCAAAGTCAGCCAAGCAAAGAGGGAGAAGAGGCAGTAACGCCTCACTCTCTGGTGCCCAGACCAGAGCCCCCGTGCTCCGCAGCACTGGGCTTCTGCAGAAGCCAGGCCCCAGGACCCCAGGGAAGGCCTCTGAGTGTGTCGCAGGCCACTGGCTCCCCCTGGCCTGCAGCTCTTCTCCCCGAAACAGCAAAAGGCACAAAGTACAGGAAGCGGCAGCAAGTCCCAGGCTCACACGTGCAGCCTCTCTGCAGGAAAGCAGTAGGGGAGAATCTCTGCTTTCCCTTTTTTGGCCTACGTTGATTAAAATATTTTTGACCCAGAATCAGCAAAGTGCTTAATGCACAAATAGCTTCTGCTGACCTCCTTCCTTGAGAATGTAATGCACTTTTATCAGGGTAGGCAGATATGTCCGTTTTGTGAGTTTCTCCAAGCAGCGCTCAAGTGGCCCCATGGCTGCCAAAATGCCTCTGCTTCGTGGTCCCAGTGGCTGAATTTCTGCCAGAGGTGAGGGTAGAGGTCAGGGGAGTGAGGACATAAAGCCTTCACTCTGACAAGCTTTAACCTTGGGACAGCGTGAAGTGTGTAGGCAATTCCTGTATGAGACACACGCAGAGTAGTCATCATTGGGCGTGAATGTTGGATTTTGTTTTACACCCACATTTTAGTATTTTACTTAAAAGTGGGGGAGGGGAATTCTTTTTGAAGTATAACAAACATAAGAAAAGTGTATAAATCCTATGTGTACAACTTGGAGATTTTTCACCAATGAACCCACATCCAGCATGCAGATCTAGATAACATGCCAGCAGCCCTCCCTCCTGCACCCCTCTCCTACGTCCTACCTGCCAAGGGTAACCACCATCCTGGCTTCTAACACCATGGATTAGTTTTAGTTTCCAAGCTTATGTAAATGAAGTCACGCAGTATGAATTTTTGTGTTTGGGGCTTCGTTCGTTCAATTTTATTTTCGTGAGATTCATCTTTGTTGTCGTTTGTTGTTGCCATCTATTCTCATTGTTTTATATAGTATTGTAGGACTATATCATAATTTTTTATTCATTCATCTGTTGATGAACATTTGGGTTTTTCCCAGTTTGGGCTGTTACAAATAATGCTGCTATGAACATTATTACACATGCCTTTTGATGAACATACACACATTGGGGAGGGGCATATACCTGTATTAGTCATTTACTGCTACATAATAAATTTTTCCCAAAACCTAGTAGCTTACAACAACAGTGAACATTTATCATGCCTCACAGTTGATGTGAGTGGGGAATTCAGAGGTAGCTTGGGAAGGTGGTTCTGGTTCAAGGTCTTTGCTGATATGGTAGTCATCTAAAAGCCAGCCTGGGCTGAAGGATCTGCCTTCAAGGTAGTTCATTCACATGGCTGGCAAGTGGGTGCTGACTATTGATGGGAAAGCCACAGTTCTTCTGCACGTGGACTTTCCATAAGACTGTCTGTGTATCCTCATCCTCATGACATGGTGGTTGGCTTCCTCACCACCATGAATGAGCAATCAGAGAGAAAGTGCTCAGTAGAAGCATCATCCTGTCTGTGATCTGGCCTTGGAAATCACACAGCATCACTTTTGCCTGATTCTATTCATTAGAATTGAGCCACTAAGTCCAACCCACACTCAAGACTCCGTCTTTAGAAAGGAGGAGTGGCAAAGAATGTATGGACATATTTTAAAACCAATAGCACCACATTTTAAAGCTTGGAATTAATTCATGCTAAAGGTCCAAAAATAAGATAAGTCTATAGAAATTCACACAAAGATCTAAAAACATATATTCAACCCTGTTTCTCCTTTTCCATTCATTTAAAATTTTATGCATATTTATAGAAGAGTTTTCAAGGTATTTTTTGGAGTCAGCGTGGTCTAATATGTAGTACAAAGACTTCGGAGCCAGACAGACCCAAGTTTGAATCTTGGATTTACTGCTTCCTAATCATGGGTGCTTGGGTAAGTCAGCCTCTTGGATTCTCAAATTCCCTCAACTGTAAAATGAGGAAAATCAACAGAGCCTATCTCATATTGTTCTAGAGACAATTAAGTGAGATAATGTGATAAAATGCCCTCTGTAATGGCAGCGAATGGAGCCTATCCATTACTCATTTTTCAGGAATATGTTAGCCATTTACATGAACTATCTGGAAGGTGCTATGATGGACACTGTGAGTGATACAAAACTGACTCAGACACAAGCCCTATCTCAGGAAGTGTGTACTCTAGTAGGGCCCTTGACATGGAGAATAACTATAATACAACTGAGAAAATTATCAGTGTCTAGAGCAGATATGGATACAATGTTTTGTTTTGTTTTTTGAGGCAGAGTCTCACTTTGTTGCCCAGGCTATAGCCAGTGCCATGGCATCAGCCTAGCTCCCAGCAACCTCAATCTCCTAGGCTCAAGCGATCCTCCTACCTCAGCCTCCCAAGTAACTGGGACTATAGGCATGCACCATCATGCCTGGATAATTTTTTGTATATATATTTTTAGTTGGTCAATTAATTTCTTTCTATTTTTAGTAGAGACGGGTTCTCGCTCAGGCTGGTTTTGAACTCCTGACCTCGAGTAATCCACCCACCTCGGCCTCCCAGAGTGCTAGGATTACAGGCGTGAGCCACCACGTCTGGCCAATGTTTTAAATATGGATCAAATTGGGATATGTAGACATGGAATGAATTTTGAGGGGCAAGAAAAGGGCAAAAAATACTCCGGATTAGGAATACAGTTTGCATAAAGACACAGATAGAAAGCTAAGAAAAGAAGGCATAAAGTGGAGCATAATGAAGTAATTCATTACTGACATGGCTAAACATAATGTAGATGAAAGGAGGGAGTGGAAGTAGGGTTAGGAAGGTAGTTACACATCAGAGTAAAAGGAAGAGATTGAGAGTATACAAGCCTTTTTACAGTCTGCTGAAACACGAAGGCCAAAAATTTTTAAATAAATTTTCAGGGCTGGCTACAAAGGCTAGGTATGCCTAGCTACCAGCGGATCTACTGGCCATACTTTTCTTAGCCAACTCCTGTTTTTGGAATATTTGTGCCTCAGATAGTCAACAGCACTTTCCCAAATTGATCTTTATAGAATGCTTCTGTCTCGGAGCCCAAGCCACCTGAGCTTTGCCCTGTCTTTATCGTTCCCATTTTGGAATCTGCATTAACAGGAAAATGCAGTGGGATTGTGTTTATAGGCCCTAAGCTCTCTGTAAATGTACTTCTCAAGACTTGGCCGTTTGGAAGCAGGCAATTTAGGTACTCAGACATCTCTGTGTATTTGACTTCTACATCCTGATAATGAGCCACTCTCTTCACTTACTTCCCCTCAACAAGACTGATCTATTTTGCAGCCTTCACTTCTGTTACATTATCCAGTCCCAGGCAGTAATGATATTTACACAGAAGACAGAGATGTTTCTGTGCTGTGACGGAAGTTTGAAGGAAGTTGGAGCCGATGACCTTCCACTCTGAAGCCAAAGAAAAACAAGCACAAATTTTCAGTCTTGCTAAGAATGGGAGATGGAGAAATGAACAGAAAGGATTCTTCTAGACCCAGTATTCAATATGTGGTGCCCAAAGCCTTTATGTACTCAACCTATGTCTCATCTAGCACACACCTCCCCTTATTTTGATGAAGCTTATATGTATGTTCCATCAAAGTAGACATGGTTATGACCAATATTGGTGATTTTGTGGGCAAAAATTGGATGTTTCATTTCATCACCCTCTTTATTCTAAGTAAAATTCAAAAGCATTAAGCGAGATGATGAGTTCTAGGCTTAGGATAGAATCGCTAGCCAGTCCTGGGCTGGAACTTCCCACATCCCCAGGGTGGGGTTTTGACTCCATTCACAACATTCAAGTTCATGGGAAATGTTCTCTGTGCAAGTACTAAGGGTGTCTTTTTCCTCTCTGATTTCTTCTCAGGTGGGAAATTGGCAAGTGGAGTCTGTGTAGTCTCACCTGTGGGGTTGGCCTGCAGACCAGAGACGTCTTCTGCTCCCACCTCCTTTCCAGAGAGATGAATGAAACGGTAATCCTAGCTGATGAGCTGTGTCGCCAGCCCAAGCCCAGTACGGTGCAGGCTTGTAACCGCTTCAATTGCCCCCCGGCCTGGTACCCTGTACAATGGCAGCCGGTGAGTTCTGTGGTTACTGATATTGGATGGGTTTTTATTTTTCTTTGTGACAGTGATTCAAGACAAGGGATATTCTCTCAAAGTGGTTTTGTCCCATTAAAGGAATGTTCAAGATCTGCTCATCCCTCACTCCTTACTACTGCCCTAACCTGATTCAAATCCAGACCTTTTAATATAAATACTATGCTCTCTCTACTATACCACATCCCATGACCTCAAAAAGCAACTCCAATGACCCATCTGTTAAGATGAGCATATTTGTGATGAAGGTGTCACCAAGCCAAGGAAAATTTTTAAAAATAAAGACAATGTGTGAGGTTTTCCATAAAACTAAATTTGCTCTGAATGTATGCCCTTTATAGTTTTTTGCTATCTAAAATTCTAAGAAATAACGACACTAAGTAATGATTTTTCTTTTTTAAAAAACATCGTTACTTAGCAAAATAAGTTAGAAATCCTGAGTCAATTTCAGATTTTTTTTTATTTTCCTAGAGCTATGACTTCCAAAATTCTGGGAACCATTGTTCTAAAGCTGGGTCTGACAAACTGCATCCTACAAGCTAAATCCAGCTTGTAGCCTTCTTTTTTGTAAATAAAGTTTTATTGGAACCCAGCCATACCCATTCTTTTGTGTATTATCTTATGGCTGCTTTTACGCTACAAGGGCAGAATTTCATGGTTGTGACAGAGACCATATGGCTCACAAAATCTAAAATATTTACTGTCTGCCCCTTTACCCAAAAAAGTGTGCTGATCCTGCTCCAAAGCATACATTATAATAATAAAAACACAACGATTTAATCATGATACTCTATTTAAAATTAATATGTATGTGTCAAACTTTAGTTAAATAATCTTTTTACATGCCTTTAAAATACCCAAGATTTTAGATTGATTGTATAAAATTTTATTTTGCAGTGTTCTCCCCATTAGGACATCAGATGTAGCTTTAAAGTGACAACAAGGGTCACAAAAAGTAAGCCTAAAAAGTGGAGGGGGATGTACATCCCTGTTTCACTGACACAATTTTTCTCTCTCAAAAGTGTCTCAATTCGGATGATAAATTATACGGTCATTGATTGAGAAGGAGAGAGGATGGAAGCTCATGTGCCCAGGCCTCATCCTGAGAGAGGGGGCTGCCATTTTTAGGCAGCCAAGTGACCTCTGTGCTTTTTCCTTTAGGCAGAGGCCCTTCCTTCTTTCTTGCCCATCTTGGGACTGTGGTTTAGTAAAGCACTCAAAGAGTCAAATAGTAATCAGTGGGCAAAACGCTAAAGTACAAAGCCTCTGGTAACAGACATTGCCCATATATTTCCTTTTGGACTTTAAATGTGTATGGCTAAGTTCATTAATTCCATGCTACTGTAGAAATCAAGATTTCTTGTAGAAATCAAGAGGATATATTTTGATATATTATAAATATATCAGTGTACCAGTGTTTTACTAAGAGATATATATTATTGCACACCTCATTGAAGTTAACCCTCACAACAATCCAGAGAACAGTAGGTTTTATTATCCTCACTTTAGGTTTGGGGAAACTGAGATTCACACAGCAAATTTAGGGCTAGATATCAACCCAATTTTATATGACCCTTTCCACGATACCAACCCCACTGTTGCATGACTGAGAGAGCCCTCGGGGATTTTATATGAGCACCCTGGTTTTACAGATGATGTAACCAAGGCCTAGACGTAGCCTTGCTCAAGATCACGAAGACTGGACCAGACCTAGGTCTGCTGACTTCTAGTGCACTTACACTAAATTACCTCTAATTAGAGTAAATCTGCCGGGCGCGGTGGCTCACGCCTGTAATCCTAGCTCTCTGGGAGGCCGAGGCGGGCGGATTGCTCGAGGTCAGGAGTTCAAAACCAGCCTGAGCAAGAGCGAGACCCCGTCTCTACTATAAAATAGAAAGAAATTAATTGGCCAACTAATATATATACAAAAAATTAGCCGGGCATGGTGGCGAATGCCTGTAGTCCCAGCTACTCGGGAGGCTGAGGCAGGAGGATTGCTTGAGCCAGGAGTTTGAGGTTGCTATGAGCTAGGCTGACGCCTTGGCACTCACTCTAGCCTGGGCAACAAAGCGAGACTCTGTCTCAAAAAAAATAAAAATAAAAATAAAAAAATAAAAAAAATAAAATAGAGTAAATCTATGACCTTAAACTGTACCACTGATCATACCAACTCAAAGTAAAGGTGATGAATTATCTCAAGTCAACTTCCACTGTTGAAACCATTAAGTCCTTGTATTATTAGTGGCTTGTGTTGCTATTAGGTACATAGTAGATTATGGATAAAATATTTAACGAATGATTAAATAAATGAATAGATTAAGAACACTTCCCCAGGCCCTAAAAATGCTGGTTTTATATCTTACTGGTACTGATTTTTCTTCACAAGTACAGATCATAATATTATCCTAGCAGTGAAATTCAGTAAAACACCAACCTCTTTTCAGCAGGTACACATGCTACCGAATAATGACATTGACCCATAATGCTTTCTCAGTTTTTAGGGCACAACCACATACGTGACCTTTTTTGGTCAGTTGCCACCACCCACCCCGCACACCCTAGTGTTCCTAATGAAAACACAGATTTCCAAAGAGTCACTTATTCTTCCTTTTCCATCTACCTTGGGCCTTTGAAAATATGGATTTATTTTGAAAGCTTTTTCTATTTCCTTCCATTAGGGAGAAGCCTTCGAGAATGAGTTCAGGTTTAGGTTCATTTTCCAGATCAGGAAACTAATAGTAAACAACTGTTTGAAGTATAGCCAATGAGTCAGTGACTACACTTTAATAGGACCTTTAAAAGGTATCTTCTCTCATACACAACACATAATAATTGTGTAAAATAGTAAAATACAACAAGAAACAAAGAACATAGAAAGTGAGAGCCACCAGTGATTCTGTTCTCCAGAGAAGAGAGTTTAATATAAGAGCCCATATTGAGAGTTTGGTGCATTGGGTCTGTTTTATTAATCCTCAGTAACATTTACGAATATCTCTAAACCCTGAAAGGAACAATTAACTATTCATCTTAGTTACTCCTTAGAATCCTACTTCTTTAGTTAAGCTTTATTGGGCAAAATTAGCTATTACTGACTGCTTATTAAAAGAAAGGAAGTCACTGTTCATGCTATAGGGGAGATTAAGTCAAGAGTAATTTCCGGTGTCCCTGTGCTCATCACCTATGGTTTTAGGACACTGACTGTTGACAGTCCGTTTGCCTGGTTAGCCCTCTGATTCCTCAGCAGTCCTTGTTGGGACACTCAAGTGGTCTTTTCCATTTAGCTGCATGGCTGTACCGGAGGATAAGGCTGAGGTCTCTAAGCCTTCAACACCCAGCCTGGGGTCTTTTTTCTTATGAAAGAACAGGAGACAGCAGATCAAATGTTTCATTTAGAGGAATACAAATGGCTGGGTGTGGTGGCTCACGACTGTAATCCTAACACTCTGGGAGGCCAAGGCGGGAGGATGGCTCAAGGTCATGAGTTCAGAACCAGCCTGAGCAATAGTGAGACCCTGTCTCTACTAAAAATAGAAAGAAATTAATTGGCCAACTAAAAATATACAGAAAAAATTAGCTGGGCATAGTGGCACATGCCTGTAGTCCCATCTACTCAGGAGGCTGAGGCAGAAGGATTGCTTGAGCCCAGGAGTTTGAGGTTGCTGTGAGCTAGGCTGATGCCACAGCACTCTAGCCCAGGCAACAGAGTGAGACTCTGTCTCAAAAAAATAAAATAAAACAAAGGAATGCAGATAACAACCTGATGTCCCGATAGCCTATTTAAGGAGAGAAACTCTCCCTCCTTGCTGTTTGAACAGTGTTAGCATTGACCTCATGGGTATGTTTCTTTTCCTGGGTAGAGCAGGAGAAGCATAAATTACATGAATTTTCATCTGCCAGATAGGAAAGCAAGCTCCTTTGTTCTTTGGAGAACATTTGCCTAACAAATGGCAAATAGCCAATATTTACACATTCTGCAGGTCTGGAGGGACCTAGCATGGAGTCCAAGTATTTATGTTAACATTTTGTTTTAGAAACAGTGAAGCAGAAATGAAGCAGAGATCTAATTTTAGCTTGGATTATTATGGACCATCTTCATTTCAGTTCTACCTCTTACTCAATACTCTGTCCCTTGGTTTTTATCTCTGATCTGTGTGAAGAATTCATTTAATGTTAATCTTTAGCAATCTAGCTTTAATACCTTGTTAATTTGTATTTAGATGACTTTTTAACATTTACATTGTTATACATTAAACCCATGCATCTTCTCTAATTTATTAAATAAACACACACAAATACACTCTCTCTCATCATCATCATCATCTTTGGTGTTGGCTACAAATGACTTATACACCTTGTGAAGGATCATATCACACTTGCGAGTTACAGCACCATGAGTGAGATTCACTGTCATTTATACCACAATTTAGTCTGAAACACTTTGATCCTGCCTGTCTTCTGCTAGTATTTTTTTCAGTGACTCTCCATAGCCATATATTATAGCCAAGCCAACACATGAGGCCTTAGTCAGGTCTTCATCACTCAGCTCATCTGCCCCTGCCTGTCTCCAGTCGTGGCTCTCCCATCCTTGCTTGTACATTGCCCTGCCCACCTGCGGATTCTCTTCCCTCTACCTGTCCAGGCCCAGCAGGAATCCTCCCTCTTCTGCCATGATTCCTCTACCGTCCTACACCGAAGCCACATGGTGTTCAGGGGCAGGACGGCTCATTTAGCAATTGCACACCTCACCTCCCCAAGGCTCTTTCTCTTGACTTCTGAGTTAGACCAGAAGGTCAGTGAAGGCAGAGACCTCGTCTCAGTGACACCCCATAACACCTAGAGCAGGTCTGAGCAGAGCCTGGTGCTGGGAAGGCACCTGCCCTGTCTGCCCTTCTCATGGATTGAGCACTGGCTGCCTTTCCAGAACCACTGCTCTTTGGAATAAGAACAGCACTTACTCTGCGCCAAGCACAGCTCTCAAC